ATCCTACTTTACATTATAAATTGTACTAAATTGTAAAATAAAAATTATTAAATGAGAAAGAATCATCAACATTAAGAAACTCACTCCCTATTCAATAGTTAATACAATCTGATATAATTCAATTTAACTACATTTTTTTTTTGTTTTATAAATTTATTTTGTATACTCTTACTAGTCGAATACTAATGATTTCAAAAGCCACCACCCTCTTTAAAAAACTTCATCGGAATGGTGGCAGGTTTATACTTATGAACCCCTCTAAGAGCCCATTAATTTTAGACATGAGACTTATGGCTTGCAAGAGGATCTCCCGCTTTGTCAGTGTAAATTTTGCCTAGCAATTGTAATAACCCTTAACCCACACCAAAATGCGGGAACACCGCTCATGATGTTGTCCACTCTAATAGATCTTGCAATTTTAAATGACCTTAAAAAGGTGGTAATTAGTTTACACCTATGAACCCCTTCAACAGCCCATTTTCTTTAGACGCAACTCTTGATTTGGGCTAGGTCATCAAACCAGGACGTCTATTAGGGAGACGTCACTTGGTAACAATTCTTGTTTTTTTTTTTTTTTGTTTTTTTGAAGGATAGAGAAAAGCGCCGTTCAGCATTGTGGCTCAATAACTACAGCTCCTTTGAAAGACTCGTATAGAAATCCAAAGTTCAAGCTTTTCTCCATTCCCAATCCTCTATTTGTTCTAGTTAAGTAAAAAAAAAAAAAAAATAGAGAAGAGCGTGCACTTTGGAATACACACCAAATCGAGACATGCAGGTAATTAACAATGTTGCCAAACCCTGTTACATTAAACGCAGTTGCATCCATCCAAGCACGTCAAAACAGGCATAAGAACAAATGGGATGTGAGAAATATGAAAGCCACAGCAAGTCCCACATACATTTCAATATAATATCAGTTCTTGAAAGAGTTGATGCATGTCGAATTAATGAATAAGAGCTAATAAAAGATTAACTATACCATTTTTCTTTCTTTCCCACCCGTCTTCCCAGTATCCAGATGTAAACTCCACGGTTCCTAATTTCATTGTCAAAGAATACTGGAGTTTTTGAAAACAATAATTTTTATCCACCTCCAGGCAGCACAGGGTTCACCTTTTTAGTTCCATCGATTTCACATCGCAGAATAGAGTTAATGCTGAAGCCAAAAACAAATGTATCACACAGATTGTAAGCTACGTGCTTGCAAAGCTTCCTGTAGGCAATAAACAGCACCCTCGTAGTTTAAGAAG